AATACTATCGTTTACTCTTCAAGAGATAACGAAACAGATTCACAGCGGTTAACCATTACTAAAATTTCTGACTGTATTTCTCCAATCATCTGCCAACCAGTACACATTTAACCGATGACAGCCTTCTTGTCTCGTACCATATGGAGACCAGTTCAGACAAACAAACTATTCAATGTTCAACAACATTGGCAGAACCCATATCCATAAATTATTTGATATAAATTTTTAGCCTCTATTATTCAAAACAATTAGTCCCTATGATGAATTTAAATAAGGTATATAAAAGACTAATTCAGAGAGATTATGTCATCTTGTAGTTTCTCTACAATCGCTTCACAACTAGCAAGGATCACAACAACAAAATCACTCAAGTATGAAAAACAAAAGTACCTATTAATGGCTAATCACATTATTAAGTAGGTCAAGTAGTTCATAGTAGGCGAAGGTCGAAGTCGATGTTTTTTTGGACGCATCTTTTAGGATGTTTGTACTTCGTTCGAAATGCTTCCATCACCTTTAATAATCTTGAATTACAGCTGTGTGATGGAATAAATGTGAAGTAGTGATTAATACTGATTTCTGACTTGACATTAATAAGTGCTTTGCAATGGATAATGATGAATTTCTGTTCAGATTATTAATTGCATTGAGATTTTTCATTTTAATTAACCATTACAGAACTAGTTTCTTTCAACGATGTTAGAACATTATATTGGTTCTACTCATATAAGTGTCAATGTAGCTGCGGGTGAAATTGTAGATAGTGTTTAAAGTAGAGTCCACAGAATTTCGTCCTTTAATCGTAGGTACAAGGACCGCAAATTTTCGAGTTGTGAGGGAACGAGATGCGGCGCAGAATGTGTGTTTTATGGCTGACCGAAGTCTTTGAGGTATCAACTGCATGATTTCATCACCCTTGAATAGTGGGCTAATAAGGATAGCTTTCTTTGGTACGGAAGCTGTCTTTTCAAGATGTGGTCTACCCTTGATAAAGGTTTCCGGATAACCATCGCATCATCGTTCCATCTTCTCTCCTGGTCATTGAAATATCCAAGAAACGAAGTTTGTTATTCAATTTGAATTCGGAAGTCATTCGGATATTTAGATGAATATGATTAAATAGAGTAATGAAGTTTTGAATAGACTTACTATTATTGCCAATAATGAGAGTTTAATTGACATAATGTTTGTATAGTACAAATTTCCCTAGCACACCTTACTTACAAATTTAGATATGAACATGTCTGCTATCAGAGGCCAAAGGCGGCTTGCCATCGCAATACCATCGATTTATTTGTTTACCTTTTCTCGAAAAGTGAATCTGATGTTTCCTATTCATGTTTAGATTATGTATTTAGTTTAAGTGACAGGAGCAGGTAATAATATCCGATTGCTTGTTATGCAATCGCAAATTAAATGGGCAGTTTTATGAAGTGGAACATTCATGAATAAAGATTCCAAGTCGACTGAACACATAAACTTTCCCTTAATGTTTAAGGCATCTAGCGTATCGGTCGGATCAAATGAACTTTTTGCAGGATAATTGATAAGAAGTCTTTTACTGGCGTAATCTTTAATCAATTTCCGATTTTATGGTATTGAAGAATTCGACATATCTAAGATGGGTCTCGGGGTGTTAAAAAAATTATGAATCTTTTGAAGGCTATACGGCTGTGGAGTATGTGATACAATAGCTATAAGTTGTTTATACAGTTTTTAAAACAAGCAACAAAGGGTAATAATGCAGGATTTGATAAATTCATCAAATTTCGTCAGAACTCATCAGCTGAATATTCTACATACTACATACATTGGGAGATATAAACTACACTGAACTAATGACGCAGAAAGACTGGTGTGAATGTTTTCCAGGTAATGTTCAAATAGATAAGGGAAGAAGGAACAGGAGAGATTAAAATTAAGGTAAAATGCATTACGTTTCAATTAAGTTACTCAGATAAACACTTAGTCATTAGAAAATGTATCGAGAACCGTAAACAGAGTAAAATCAATGTCACTAGTTATAATAATAACAATAATAATACTGAAGTGAGTTAAGATAATGCTACTGATGTAATATAGTTTCAAATGAATCAAGAATAATAATCATAAGAGGTAGAATAATAATTAAAACGTATTACCATGGTAGATTTAGAGTGACAACCATCTCCTTTCGTACACAGAGACCTGGTTTATAAAGTCAAATCGCACAAGCCTCTGCAGCTGCAAGCATCTTCCTGTTTCTTTGTCTGTTGACAATAGTGAATAACTTGATAGCATCGATATCACGTCCTTAGTCAACAAGATGTTTTGTTATTGAGGATTTTGGCACTTTGCATTCAGCTGTTTTCAACTCTTTTGGCGAATGCTCCCTCATGCGAGTAGACAGTCGCCTTTCTGTACGACCTATGTATTTGCTTTCACAAACACATTCAAATTTATATACGCAGTTTGAAGGGTCGAGGATTGGCGATTGGTCTTTACAAGTCTGTTGAAGCACTCGTTTGGTAATGTTAGGAAAAACAAGTTTTGCAGTTATTACTTTTTAAAACGTGCATCAGTAAAATCTGAAGTTGACGATTAATCTGCTTTTCGACCAGCAGCACATTTTTGTCAGCAAATAATAGTCTTCATCTTTCGTGTTTCTTAAATAATTTATTAGGTTACAAATTATTTTGATTATTCTATAATTCTGGTCGATTGACTTCTGTTGGAACGTAAGGCTCACCCTTGATTTACGCGTTAATCAAGAAGAAATTAAGAAAAATAACTCAAACAAATAATAAATTGCGCCCATTTCAAAATTGGTGGCATGTGTGATCCAGGTGTTGACTAGTTAGCCATTAGAACTATGCGTGTCTCGGTGGTGGTGCAGAAATACTCATTTAGTGAGTCACATATCTGCAATGCACTACTAGCCTTCATCTATCAAATAACAAGATCAAATAACACTTATACTTAGAAGGCTTCAAAAGATGGATTTCAGCGGGAATTGTATAATTAAAAGACATCATATCTATATGGCTGGATAAGCAAGAACCACTGGAACACACTAGAATTCACATGCTTATATTTGCAGTCCTTGTAAAACATACACATGACCTTCGAAAAATGAGTGTTCAAAATGCATATTAAGGGAATTCTGGTGAAAGTATCTTCAAATACACTGTGATTATAATATTTGGAACTGTATAGATGAACAAATTTCCGAAATCTGGGTACCTTGTGTTAATTATATATATGTTATGTAATTTTTTCAAAAATATAACGTTTATTTCTAACAAAAATGTTGCATTAAACACACAAAATAACAGCTGCGTACAACAGTAGCATTTGTAAGATTTTTAACCTATGCACAAATAAATTGTATTCACCTTGGTTTGTATATGTATTTTACAAACAAGAATTTCAACCTAGAGAAAATAAGAATCGTACACACAATCGTCTTTATACAGTACTATCTTTAATTTCAGTGTTGAAATAGTTCAAAAACAATCATTATTATTATTCGCCTGTCTTTCAGGTGAAAAATAGGACTTCAATAGTATATGTCAGTATCATTCTGTTCTCTGCAGTTCTGTCTCTACGATCTTTCATGGGATATTATTGAATTGAATTTTTGATTTTCCCGTCGATTGGTTGGACCGAAGTGCTCGGTCTCAGATTGACATGTCGGCTTCTTGTGCAGATGCTGCGACGATGTCTAGGCATTTAGTATTTAATTGGCGGATGGTGACGAGCAGTGGAATCCAGGATGCACATTTCGTCCTACTTGGGACTCGTCGGCTGGATGCACCTGCATTTCTCAATAAGTGATGATGTTCCCACCGAGGCTTGAACCCAAAACGTTTTGGCGTTTGAAAGTGGGTTCGAGCCTCAGTGGGAACATCACCACTCACTGAGAAATACAGGTGCATCCAGACGATGAGTCCCAAATAGGACGAAATGCGCATCCTGGATTCCACTGCTAGTCACCATCCACCAATTAAATTACATTGGATATCTTTTTCTTCTCACCTGATATCCTCGATGTCGCCCTCAGACCCACGCCTAACTCGCCGTTTCTCATTCTGATTCCATTCAACAGTCTAGTGCATGGTGTCACTCAGTGGTCTCCTCAGAGTGTGTTACATCCATCTCCATTTAATTCTCGATATTTGTTAATTAAAAGGGTATTGATTGGTTCTTCCCCATGGTTTTTTATTTGCTAATTCTTTATAAAAGGTCATCTGATCTTCAGTATACAGTAAAGACAGTTGTTGGTAGATGTTTGCAGTGGCCTGTTGGAAAGGCTTTTCTCGCGACTCTCCAATATTCTGACCCATATAGAAGAAATAACCCACTTGACAGTGATGTTGAAAATCCGAATATGTTTCGTTATGTTGATTGTAGAAGATGTCCAGACTTGTTTCAGGTTCATGAAGGCGTGCCTTACCATTCCTATCTTGATTGCCTCCGGGATAGTTATCCATGTCACCTATAGTTGAAATGATGCTTTCTAGATAAATGAAGGAACTGAACTCTTTCAAATTTATCCCGTTGATAGTGACTAATAATTGTTGGTATTGGGTGGTGATCCTCATCACTTCATTTGAAGTTCTTGTTGGTTTTCGCATCCAGGTCTTCAAGTTTCCATAATATTGCGCATAAATCATCCTCAGAGTCGAGATATACTAGAGTCCTCTTATATATTCAATACAATACCTTTACCTCGTAGACATGCAATAAATACCTGATATCTAATGTTAAATTTATTAGAGGAAATTAGGCACTAGTCAATGAATTGTCCACTTCTGATGTGTACTTTTATAAATACTAACTGTCTACTTTCATAAAAGGTAAAAATCAATGAAAAAAAGACAGCGAAAGCGGACAGTTTATTTCTGACAACACATGTGACTCTGCATGTGAAACAATCTAAACCACATTTAAAATATGTATTTTTTCATCCATTTCTACTATTCCTTTATTACATGTTAATTATTTTATTATTTTTTTAGCTACCCACTTCATCACCGTCATCCGTTGCAATTCAACCACTTCAAGATGATGGTCATAAGGTGAGTGAATGACGTAATTTTGTACTTTTATCTTCCACCTAGTCAATTTTTTTTCACACGCTTATCAGTTGATCTAAGACTGATGATTCTGCAAGCTGTTTAAACAGAAATTTTATTCCATCTCAATGAAGTCTTACTTGAGAAACTTCATAAATTTTTTCCCACGCATGAGTTTGAATAGAACAAGAACAACAGTTTGTCCAGAATAATATGGTATCATCATTTATCTCGTTGGTTTCTCGTCAGCTCAGACTGCATACAGACTAAAAGAATTATTAGGTTTATGTAAAGAAGAATTTCAACATACTTGCAAATTTTACATGTCTTCAGTTGACAGGGGGCACCGAAATTCATGAACAGTGCTCACAGAGCTACCCATGTATAGTTTTTACCCAAACTAATGTTAGCACCTTATTCTGCACAAACTACTGTTCTTCCCTTATTTAGAAATCTTTGTAATTTTGCCGACAAATATGTCAATCTGCTAGGGTGATTGTCTATTTCAAAGCTATATTAGCATGCAAAATTGGGACAGCCATAGACATCAAGCTAGCTGCAGTAGTGTCAGAAACAATTTATCTGCTCATTTCTTAAACAGCTTAGATTATTCAACTGTAAACGTGTTTGAGAAAAAATTAAAATAACTATTTGAATTCGACGTTTTTAGGATATTGTCTGCACTAAATCATACGATTTACTTTTAAATATTTGATTTTGTTGACAGATTAAATAGCGATTAACGATCCATTTGTATTTGAAAGGCATTTAATATATGGCGCATATGGATGAATCGGGTACTCTGGCGAAACTAAATGTTGAATTTAACTCCTCCGTTGCTTGACTATTAAAAATATTTATTCGCATTCTGTCAAAACGAAGAATTATGATTCTGAATGAAGCAGCAATTCAACGAGTTAACTATTTGTTTGAATTCATTTAACCTGATGAAATCTTCTATATACTAAATTATATTATTATTATTGCTCCCTTGTGTTCCTAGTGGAACATAGGACTTCAACTGCACGTCTCCACTTGCTTTTGTCTTCCTTCTACTGTACTTTTCACCTACATCCATGTTGATCCATACTCTTTCAACTCCTCTTCACACGATCTCCTCCATGTCACCCTTGCACCGACGACCCACTCGCCACTTCCCTTTCGGCCTGGTTCCACTCAAGCGATGGCCTGACGCGCGTGCGATGTCATCCAGCGGCCTCTTCAGCGAGCGAATGTCCAATCCATCTCCACTTTCTCCTGAATATTTGTTGGTTGGCGATTGGTTCTTGTTTTGTTCGCTTGTTCCCATAGTTTCTTGTTGACGATTCTTTCCAGCCCGGCCATTTGATCTTCAGTATAGAGCAAAGACAGTTGTTGATAAAGGCCTGCAATAGCCTGTTGGAAATATTCTTCGTGACGCCCCCCCCCGCCAAGTTTCTTATCCGTATAGAAGAACCGCCTTTACGTTTGTATTGAAAATCCGACTGAATTTTGTAGTTGATTCTGGCTGAGTGACGAAGATTTACAGATTGATTTCAGGTTGATGAATGTGTTTCTCGCCTGCCTTCCCGATTCTCGATTTTACATCCTCGTCCGTTCCGACTTCCTGTAGTTGAGACAATGCTCCCTAGATAAGCGAATGAAGTAACCTCTTTCAAATCCCTCCCGTTGATAGTGATTGACGCTCGATATTGCTGCTTTTGTCGTTGTTGGTTGGTTATTTTCATAACCTCCGTCTTGTCTATGTTCACCTGGAGTCCTGTCTTCGCCGGCTGCTTCTTCGACCAGTTTGTCGGTTTTCGCTTGTAAGTCTTCGATTTTGTGTGACATCAAACATATTTCATCCACGTGCGAAATTCAGGTCTTCTAGGTTCTTCGCGTCGGTCCAGGATATTCCTGTCTTCTTGTTTCCCGCTCTCTGACGCATAATCCAGTCAGTCCACCACAATAAGGAATATCATTGGTGATAATAAGCACCCTTGTCTGACTCCTGTGTTTACTCCAAACGCCTCGCTGAGTTTTCCGTTGTGGATCACTTGACATGTGCCGTTGTCGTACAGCTGTTGAATAAGGTTGATGAATATTTGGGGTACGCCATAGTACTCGAGTAATTTCCAAATTACTTCACGGTCAACGCTGTCGAAGGCCTTCTCAAAGTCTGAAAAGTTGAGGTAGAGGTTTGATTGCCATTCCATGCTTTGTTCGACGATGATGATGCGTAGAGTTGCAATTTGGTCAGAACATGATTTGCCTTTCCTGAATCCAGCTTGTTCTGGTCGGAGTTCTGTCTCCAGTGCGTCCTTTATTCTCCCCAGGATGATGCGACTCAGGATTTTACTTGGCGTCGACAGGAGCATGATTCCTCGCCAGTTCTTGCAGAGTGAGGCGTTAGTCGCCCTTCTTTGGTAGTTTCACGAGGTAACCTTTCCTCCAGTCAGTAGGCACCTTTCCCTCCTTCCAGACCTTTTGCAATAATGGAGTCAGCATGTCTGCTGTCGTCTCTGGGTCTGCTTTCAGTGCTTCAGGGGGTATTCCATCTGGTCCGGCTGTTTTCCAGCTTTCAGAAGCTTGATTGCGTTCAAGACTTCAGCTCTCGTTGGAGGATTGGTGTCAACTTGCAGTTGTGTGCGCGCTGTTGTTGGTATTTCTGGACGGGTTGCAGGTGATGGTCGGTTCAAGAGTCCTTTGAAGTGATCCACCCATTGTTTAATCTGTCTTTCTTCTTTGGTAATTGGGTTCCCTTGGCTGTCTTTTATAGGTTTCGCTTGTGTTGGTCTCTTCCCGGATAGAGATTTGGTTATCTGATATAATGTCCTCAGGTCCCTTTTGCCTGCTGCCTTCTCAGCTTCAGTGGCCAGGTTGTCGTAGAATCGTCTTTTGTCCTTCCTAGCACTCTTCTTCTTTTCTTTGTCCAGTGCTGTGTAAGTTGAGCTCAGCGTCTCTTTCTCCTGTCCGTCCTTGCATTGAATCATTTTCTCTTTCACCATTCTCCTCTCTTCTATAAATTTCCAAGTGTCCGTTGAGAGCCATTCCTTGTCTTGTCTCTTCTTTCTTCCTAGAACCGTTGAACACGTTTCGTTGAGAATCGCCTTCAGAGACTTCCAATGTTCTTCCACGCATGATTCTTCAGTGATGTCGCGTAGTGTTTCCTGCTTTGCTCTGACAGTTGCAGTGAAAGTGTCTTTTGTGGTTTTGTCCTTCAGTTTCTGAGTGTTGAACTTGCATTGTGGCCTATCCCTAGTTATCTCGAGACTTTTAGTTTCACCTTGAAAATCCCTTGTACTAGATAGTGGTCTGTACCCATATCTGCTCCTCTCCTTGACCTTGTGTCCAGTAGGCTCCGTCTCCACTTACTTGAAACTGAGACACACAGACATTAATTACCATCTGAGGACTGATAGCAATACGCAGTTGCACGAACGAAAATAGGTAGCGTGGAACTCTATTCTGTGACTTCGCTTGTAGTCGGGTGTTTAAAACACTTAATCTCATCTACATTCGATTTGTAAAGAGAGTGACATAGAAATCGTCTTGAATCACACGCGTTATTTTGATTTAACTCATTAGTTTCAATTAAAACCTGAGAATACGTGATATTATTACAAAAGTTATTGGATTAAACTGTGAAACTTTATCAACTAAGATGCCTAGCATTTATATTGCGCTTGTAGAGCCACCATCTTCCTCATTTTGGTATTTTAGATGATAACAAGAATGAGTTGGAAATATTCTGAACAACAAAGGCAGCCTTCTTAAACTTGGGCTACCAATAACTCCTGTTTCCCATTGTTTGTCTCTTTGAGTATGTTTAAATCTAATAAAATATAATCTCTAATAGTATTATTTACTCCGGCGAGTATTCAAAATGTTAACAGCCTGCTGATTCGAAGGTTTCTACTAGACACCATGAGAAAACGTATAATCGCAGGTGGCAGCGTATCCCAACACATGAGAAAACTGTTCCTGAGTTTCACCTTTGGTTGTAAAAATGTATTCCTAAATTCTTTATAATTGATATTCCACCGAATATCACATATTCCTTGAAAGAGACAAAGAAGATATATCATAGTGGATTGGTTTTCGCCTCAGGCCATGTTGAACTGCATCATACGATATACTGTTAGTTAATATCTCAATTAAAGATCCTGATTAAAGAGAAAATATGACGCAATAGACTCAGCTAAAGATTTTATACACTATATTAACACTGTTCAGAATAAAGCTATTATTTATATCATTATTTAAAAAAACATTAAGGAATATAAGTTCAGAATACATAATCAGTCCAAGGAATCTATTACTATTAGTCTCAGTCACGTAAAGAGGACTTGACTCGACTCTGAGACGTGAAGAAGAGTGTCAACGTGAACATTTCCACTTTTGCGTAGTTTATTTGTTTCTATATAGGAGGTAATTTTTATGGCTGATTTAGTTTGTTCATATTCTTTCAAATTGTATTCAAGAGTTTTGATGACATTAAATGGTGGAACACAATTGGCAGGAAGCCTTGGAACTAGGTTTCGTACTAGTTGGCACTCATTAATCAGCAAGACATATCTGTAAACTTGGATGAAATAATGTCTCTTCTAAGATTCTAACCCGCATCCTTCAGTGCTGCAACCAGAGACCTTACCACTGTGCTATTTGCGATTGTGGTTGACCGCTTTTAGGACTGCATCGGATACTTTGGTTGGACCCTTGGGTTTCAAGGTTCCCTCAAGGCTACAGTTACGCCTAGCTGACTGTTGAGTGCCAAAAAGAACGAAACCCAGGTTCAAGGCTTCCTGCCGATTGCCTCTAACCATCTGATAACATCAAATCACTGTGCATCGTGGTGGCAAGATACCTAGAATGATGGCCACATTGTAAATGTGACTGACAGGGTTCAATCTGCACCAAAGAAAGGACTAAACACATCACACTAGTTACTACTGTCCAATCGATGTTTATTGTTTTGGATAGAATTTTGTTGGATGACGGGAACGGTTTAAACCTTAATTTTA